AATCAGTGAGTTAGAAAAAAAATATAAAATTGAAATAATCAAACAATGTGTATATTTTTCAAACAAATTGTGCAAATCTATACATATTTATTAAAAATAGTAACAAGAAAAATCCACCATTTAATGCATTCTATTTTCGACAGTTTTTTAATTTTCTTTTTTAAATTATTCCCAAAAAATTGAGCAGCTATATATGCGTCCTAAAGTTATGGGTTTTGTAGTCTTGATTTAGGTAAACTAGTAATCCCCCGTGCGATGCACGGGAAAATTATAATTTATGTGTTTTTTCGAAGGTAATTTGTATATAGCTATAATAAAATTAAAAAGACATGGCTAATAATAATAATAATAATAATAATAATAATAATAATAATAATAATAATAATAATAATCAACTACAATAACATTTGTTTAATTGGATATAAGATAAAAGAAATGCTATAGGTACATAATATTGTACATACAAGTGTAAATAGAACTCATATTGAGTGAGACCCACGAAAAACAAAAAATCAAGTGGGCCTCATTCCATATGAGTATTACGTACACCTATATGTACATTTATTATATACTTGTAGCATTTTTCATAAAATATATCAAGTATTGGACTATGTTCCATAACATCGACACTAATTAAACAAACATTGGGTATAAATCCGGATTTCCAGGGTTTTCATTTCATTTTTCATCTCCTTCCCCGACCAATTCTCTGTGTCGTGTCGGTCGTCTCTTTATTTTTTTTTTTAATTTTTTTTACCTGCAAAAAATGAATGTTTCTAAACAAATCGATCACATATATTGTGATTCGTACATTTATGTTTAGATTAATTTAAAATAAGAATTTGAACAAATTGTGTTTTGATTATAAGATAAGTCCAAATGATTTGAAAAATAATTAATTAGTTAAGTCGTTAAGTTTTTATCCGTGTAGGAAGATGACCAATTAGTACACATGTGTCATAATTAAACGTCATTTTAATTTTTGTGAATACTTGTGATTTGATGATAAGATAAGTTAAAATGATTTAGATAATTAATTAATTGATTGAGTTGTTTAGATTTTATAACGTGTTTTAACTTGCCCATTACACGTGTTTCTCATTAACTCAATTTCTGTTAGTACTATAGCATGATAAACTATATTATTATATTATTTAATGTCAAAAATTAAGGACTCTTATACTAATTATATTGTTTAAACTTGCTTCAATTATAATAACCGAGGTAATGTACACGTCTTGTTTAAATTAATATGATAATATAAGTGAACATGAACTGTATTATAAATTATTGATTTATTTGTTTAGAAGTTTTATTAGTGTGGAAACTTTATGAAGATTGGTATGGAATTTTCATAAATGCAATTCTAATGTGGTCCTAAAATATTTGATTTTCTGTTACAATTTCTATCAATTGTTGGATTGACTCAAATATCAATTTTTTAATTAATTTGTTTTAAAGTTCGATTATTATAGCTCTTACCCTTATCTTTGAAAATTTGAAAATTTAAAAAGCCTTATCTTTAGGTTTTATTATGGTTCTTATCCATTGTTTTAAATAGTCTAAACATAGAAAGTCAACTGATTTATTTATTTGGTCAAAGTTTCTAAAAAGGAATTTAACAACAACTTTTTTATATATATAGAGATAGAGATTTTGAATGATGCTTACGATTTTGCAAAAGTCAAAATTCTTTCTCATTTTTAATAAAAAAATATTGATTACCATAAAATCGAGAATTTCGAATTAGGCAAAATACTATCGCATATATCTTTCCTAATTGCAACAAATTAATTTTTTATTAAAAAAATTGTATTGCATAGAAATCGGGTTAATTTAAGTATAATTCAGCATGACAATTTTGTAAAAGTCAAAATTCTCTTATTTTTTATTAAAAAAAATAGTTTACCATATAAGTGAGAATGTCGAATTAGGCAAAATACTATAACATGTATCTTTATCTAATTGCAAAAGATATGTTTATTCAAAAAAATCGGATTCCATATAAATCAACCCAATTTCAAATGATAATTAAAATTTAAAAATCCCATATCATTTGCCTACTATTTTCTTTATTTCGGGAGTTTTTTTTTAAACATAAAACAGAGTTAAATAATATTAATTTAAAATTCAAAATGAAATCGGATTGGAAAATACTAAAAAATTGGGTTTTGTTTAATTCCATATAATACAAATTTGAAATTGATTGCATACACGTCCACAATTTTTTGTTTCCTTAAATTATGTAATTTACGATTTTAAAATAAAAAGACTATAGATTATCAAGAAACACATTTTACAATCTCCGTTATATTTAGCTATGCAATCTTCATAAACCAGTATAATGATTATCATATATATCTTGCTAAATAATTAATTAATTTATTTAAGCCTATTTATAATCCTAATATATATAGATGTCAAGTGTTTATTTTTTTATATACGGTTCAGAAGTACATTGTTTTTGGTTTAATAATATATAAATTATATTTTGTTTTATTTCAACATGATTTTTACCTCGTTCTTTCAATTATTCAAATATAAATACTTATCTTAAAAAAAATTAGCCCGTCATATTTTTATTCTTTTTTTTAGTTGTGATATATTTTAATAAGAAAATATAAATAGTGGATGAGATATGGGACAAAGAATAATAAACACTTGAGCTTCATGATATGACTTACTTGAAACGTTGAAACCACTTGATCATATGTGGCTTCTAGAGTAATATCATTCCTCGAAATTTCGTGTTCCACAAAATAATGTGACCCAAATTTGTCCATCACAAATCAAGAACATATAATATTGAGGTCAATATATATATGCTGCAGTGTTAAAACTCTTAAGAGAGAGCTTTGCCGCCCTTGTGATCCTACCCGGCTCGATTCCGAATTAGTTGGTTCCCTTGTGGATCCGGAAACCGGAAGGTTCCTGTACCAAAAAATATATATATATATATATGCTGCAAAATTTTGCAAATATCTATTATTTGGGGAATAATTTTTTTCTTGTGGCATCCACGCTGATGATGACATAATTTATCAATTGTCAAAAGCAATTGTGTGAAAAGACAAGTTGGACTTGAGTAGTATAGATTATTTTGCATCAAGTTTCTACCTTTGTTTCTTTATGAAAGGCAAATAAGTGTAATCAATTCCCTTTTTACTTTGATGAAAAAACCACAATGGACCATGTTTTGAATATAAATGATTCATAAAATTAAATGGTAACAAAAATTTTTGAAAAACAACTATATAAACTATTATTTACCAATACTCATTTACAAATCGATAAAAAATATTCGCATATTAAATTAATTATTACAATTTTACTATCAACTATTCGTCAATATAATCGATTCCATGTTATTGGCTATCAGCTAGTAAGTAAACAAATATAAATAAGTCTCATATCTCTTCAAACTTCGCCTCTCCAATTTTTTATGACTGAACTAACAAGTTGCTGAGTTTGGATTTCGGGGATGCTTCAGCAATAGGATCCGAGAAAGGCAGGTAGCAGCCAAACCAACTCTCATACGAGCTCCTGACGGTTCATTCATCTGGTTTCATTCTTTTTTTAAGTAACGTAGTGCCGAAAAGAAGCGAAGCGCAATTCAGTCAAGAATACAGTCGAAATGTTGGTTGTATCGTGACCAATTAAAAAAAAACAAAAAAAAAATAATTAATTGCCAAAAAAATCACGACCTTTCGTCGTCGAAAACCTTTCTGAACTAAAATCAAATTCAAATACGGAAATTTCCAAACACAGCCGTGACTAGTGAATCCCTACCACGATTTCCCTCTATGTGGACCTTTGCTCGACACGTAGACCCCAAACCAATCACATCCCGCCACGTCGGATCACACTCTCAGACCAAAAACACGTCCACGTTCAATGAATCTGATCAGGCCTTTCCCTGTCCCTTCATTTCCTCCTTTTATATAGCTTTCTGTTTCGTCCGCCACAGAACACACGCACTCATACACACACACAGTGCAGCCCATTAAATTCACAACAGATTGAGCTCCACAAACCTCCAAATTCACTAGCAAAATCTCTTTTTTACGGGTTTTTGTAGATTTTTATTTTATTACTTCCAAGAAATACTAAGAGGAAGCGAAGTATTTCAGCAATGGCTTTCTCCGTCAGCTCCGCCGTCCACAGCCCGTCTATATCCTCTCCGTTCGAGCAGCAAATCAGAGGTAACGCTATGTTTTCCTTTTGTTTTTTAATTTGGGAATTTACCCATTTCATCATTTTCGATTTTATTTTGTTTTTCTGTGTATTGATCGTCTTTGTTTTGTATGTAACGCTCCAGGTGCTCAATTGGGGGTGTTTCCGCCGTTGGATCGGCCGCATCTCCAACCCACGGCGGCGAGCTTGTGCCGGCGGCGTTGCGCCGTGGCTCCGCTGCACGCGGCGGAGCAGAAGCGCAGCGATTCGATTGTCCCGTCCGCTGCTACCTTGTTCGCTCCAGGTTCGTTGAACTTTCTCTGCTAAAGATTTTTCTTACTTTAGATAATTTGATTCATTTAAATTTCTGTATGTAGTTTAATTGATGGGTTTTTTTTTTTGTTTTTTTTTTCTTGTTTTTCTTTTCTTGTCAATTTTCGGCAGAGGTTGTTGAGAAAGTGGAAACAGAGGATTATGTAAAATTGGCAGATGAGCTTGAAAATGCTTCTCCTCTTGAGATCATGGATAAGGCCCTCGACATGTTCGGGAACGATATTGCAATTGCTTTTAGGTAATTTTCACAGTTTCTATATTGTGGGCTCAATTGAAATCATATTATGACATAAATAGTATCTAAAGATTCAATTTTTATGTGCACTTTTAAATAGTTATGGGGACCCTAGTGTGATTATAGTCTTCCACAAGAATGGTATTCTTATGTGTGTACTAATACTGCTTGGGAATGTCTTGTTTTTTAGTACTTGGTAGTTTGTGTTCTTGGGTTGTATGTTTATCTGTTACTGTTAAAGAATTGAAACAAAAGATGAGAAGATTGAAAATTGAAAGTAAATCTTTAAGATGCTCAGTTAGCTCAATTTTCATCTTCTGAAATTTAACAAAAGTAACATTCTTGATTGATGATTCATTAGCTGAAGTTGACAAAATATTCGAAAACCTTGCTCTGATGTAATAATAATGTTCCTTCCCAATCATGCAGTGGAGCAGAGGATGTAGCTTTGATCGAGTACGCGCACCTAACCGGACGCCCCTTCAGAGTCTTCAGCCTCGACACAGGCCGACTAAACCCTGAAACCTACAAACTCTTTGACTCGGTCGAGAAGCACTACAACATCCGAATCGAGTACATCTTTCCAGAATCTTCCGAAGTCGAGGCCCTCGTTCGCAGCAAGGGGCTTTTCTCCTTCTACGAGGATGGCCACCAAGAGTGCTGCCGCGTGCGTAAGGTTCGCCCATTGAGACGGGCCCTCCGTGGCCTCCGAGCTTGGATTACGGGCCAGCGTAAAGACCAGTCCCCGGGGACCCGTTCCGAAATACCCACAGTTCAGTTGGACCCGGCCTTTGTGGGCCTCGATGGTGGGCCCGGGAGCCTCGTCAAGTGGAATCCACTAGCAAACGTGAGGGGAAACGACGTTTGGAATTTCCTCCGGGCCATGAACGTGCCCGTTAATTCCCTCCACGCGCAAGGGTACGTCTCGATCGGGTGCGAGCCTTGCACGAGGCCTGTTTTGCCAGGTCAACACGAGCGGGAGGGGAGGTGGTGGTGGGAGGATGCTAAGGCCAAGGAGTGTGGGCTTCACAAGGGAAACATAAAGGAAGAGAAGAATTCGAATTTGAATGGTGGGGCCCACACGAATGAGCCCGATCTTTTTAAGAGCAAGAATGTGGTTAGCTTGGCCCGGCCCGGGATTGAGAATCTGTTGAGGATGGAGAATAGGAGGGAAGCTTGGGTCGTTGTGCTTTACGCTCCGTGGTGCGGGTTTTGCCAGGCAATGGAAGGGTCGTACGATGAGCTGGCGGGGAGATTGGTGGGTTCCCGAGTTAGGGTTGGGAAGTTCCGGGCGGATGGGGAGGAGAAAGGGTTTGCACAAGGGAAGCTCGGGCTCGGGAGTTTCCCGACGATCATTTTCTTTCCGAAGCACACGTCGAGGCCCGTTAAGTACTCCTCTGAGAAGAGGGATGTCGAATCGTTGATGGCGTTTGTAAAGGCACTTGAGTGAAGGGTGTAAGTTTAAAGAGAATTGTAATGTGCGTTTTGTGTTAGTGTTGTTTGGGATTTGGGATAGGGTTTTGGATCTTGGGAGTTTTTGGATCATATGATTGTAATGTAGAGTTTTGTTTGTGTGTTTACTTTGTGTTTTTTTGAGGAGTTTTGATTGAGGTTAAGGTGGTCGAATTTTGTGCCTGTGTTAATGGTTATGTTGACATGGATAAATTTCATCTCCTTTCTCTCTTGAACTGAATTTTAGTCCAACAATTATGATTTGTATTAAGTAGAATTGAAGTTAGTTATACTATATAACCGGAACTCGATTTTGTGCAAACATGTAACAAAACTGTGAACATATAACCACGGTTACAAGGTGGTGTTCTCGCAGCGGATCCTCATTCCCCGGCGTGGATGTTTCTCGGAGTTTCAGATCTGAATCGAAAGCAAACTTTTCTCTAGATCCATCTAGGCGGCACGAGTGGCCGCAGTTTTCGAGCCTGAGGTTTTGGTTTGTGGCTTCGTTAGACATCTTTGCTAGTGGATGGATTTGAGGTTTTGGTTTGTGGCTTCGTTAGATCTCTTTGCTAGTGGATGTGGATCGTTTGAAGTCTCGAGTGCCTTGGCGTTGAGTCTATTAGGTGTAGGGATGTCCTAATTTATTTGTTTATTAGGTGTGTGTTTCTTCTTTTTGTATTTCGTTTTGTCAATCCAACTTGTCTGGTTTATCTCTTTTATGGAGTTTTATTCCCCTTTGTGGGGTTTTGCTTTGGGTGTGCGATTGCCTCCTTATTGGAGTTGTTCCTCTTGAATTCCTCTAGAATTTCAAGAGGGTAGGTCCAGTTATTTGATTCTTGTCAGTTGACATCTCCTCTATACTCATTTTGAGTTTTAGTTATATATTTTTTACTGTTAGAAAAAAAAAAAAAAAGAAGCCCACGGTAACAAAACCAATGACGGTAAAAACCACAAATCATAATGTAAAAGTTTGTATATTTGCAATTGAAGTAAATAATTTGATAAATGTGTAGGTAAATCTATTAATATATAATAAGGATTAACTTAAATCATTTTTAGTAACATTTTCCCGCCATCAGCATTAATTACTTACTATAGATGGAAATAATATAATACTATTTAAATAAAAAATAAATCATTAATTGTGTAGCTTCCATATAACTCAGATTTCATTATGTGTTTATTTTAGACAATTATATGTTTTCTTTAATTAAGTTAATAGTTATTTTGTAGATAAAAGGTTATTTTGGAATTTTGATTTATGTAGTTGATTTTCTGTACATAATTATGTATCTGATTTTGGAATCTTCATTTATAGAGGATTCTTTTTTGTTTTAATTAGAATCATCATTAATTTAGATTAGCACATATGTTATATACACAAACTACAATTTTATAGTAATATTTGAATTTATATGGCGCCAATTTTAGAATTCTCATTGATGCAAGATTCTTTTTGATTTCATCATATTTATTAGAATAAATGATTTAGGTTACCATATATATACACAAAATATAA